CCTGCGCAGATACCCAGGCTGATCCCGATACTGCAATCTAGTCCAGTCTGTGACCCTGACTACCTGATGAGTGCGACTTCCATGTGTGGGCTGAAGGAGGAAACGCAGGCATGAAAGTGGACGGTAGCCACTGATCCGTGGCTTGCAGGAAATCATGGAAGCACCCACCTGCTACTTTCTGTTCCTCAGCATCAACTGAGCCAAATGCGTTGGATGTGATGGAACCCATCCTGGCTTTCGCATCGAGGCATGTGAGTAGTAATTCGGAGTCCCCCTCGTGCATGCGAACCACTCTCTCCGTAGTGGCTCATCATTGTGCAAGTCTGGCCTCAGTGCGATTATTGCCCTCTCCTGGCCCATGTGCTACCAGGATGTTGCACAGCATTTGCGGAGCACGGATGGCCGCCAATAATCTTGACGGTTCTTGGTGTGGTACTCTGCACATGTGCGGTCTTAGGCGATAGCCTTTGGTGTATTCGATCTCCGCGTTGATCCACAGTGCGCATCCGTCAGTCCCTGACGGCGTCGCTGGCGCAACAAATAACATAGAACTGTCCGAATCTGGCTGCTTTCGAGATCGGCATCCTCGTCTCAGCGGTACCTGCCAAGAGATATTCGCATCTAGCAAATTGGGCCCCCAACGGTTGAAACTTGCCCGTAAGGGGGTCCCTGGTACGTGCCAACCGTATGTATCCCCTCTTGTTTGTAGCTTGTTTGGCACTGGGATCCATAGTGAGTGCGTTGGCGGCAGCCATCCAAATAGATACCTGGGTGTCCTGGACTGGCTTGGGCACCGGTGGCTCTGGCAAGCATTCCTGGAGCTTGACCACCGGGCGTTGTGCTCGGGGAATCGGTAGGCCGAAAGGCGGCGGATATTCACTCCTGTCCTCTGGCGCAAACGCAAAAAGCCATGCCCATGGGATAGCCTGCATGTGTCTAGGCAGCTCAAGAGATGTGCGCCAGAACGTGCATGGTGTGTATTCGTATGCACCATACGATGCTATGCGCGCAGCGGTGTCCACCATTTCATTCCATGTGTGGCAGGAATGACCTGGTACGTGAGATCATTCATATTTGTGTAGCACACTGCACAAGGATCTGCTGTATGCCGTCCAGAATTATCTTGGAGACCTGCAGGACCTCTTTCGTACCTCCAAGCTGTGCAACTCTGATGACATCCAGATTGTCACTGTAAAAATGTACGTGTGCGCGGTGAAACACAGGCGAAGCAAGTAACCCTTTGGCTGCCCATATTGCCGCCTCAAACTCAGCGTATGCAGACAGCAACTCTGTAGGTAGGACTGTGCAATGCCCGGTATGTCCCCTGCTTGGAAGCTCACTAACCATTGTCCCTGTGTGTCGGAAGCGATGGCACAGAAAGCCCAGGAGGGTGGTGTAGTGGAAGTAGTATCATGCATCTTTAGACCTCTGCAGACCCATTTGTAAATATATCCAAACGGGTAGGGATGCGCTGACCCTTGTCATTGGCCTTGGGACCCAATTCAGCCAGACCCCGCATCGTGGCTGAATGCCAAAACTGGGCAAACTGTAACGTGTCGTCACAAAGTCCAAGACCCCTAGTGTCCCAAGGTTGACACAGGAGGTGAAACGTGTCAGAAAATTTTGGAATAGGACTGTCGCGGATGCCACGCACCCCAGTAGCATCTGCACTAGCGCGCGGTGGCGCGCGACCCGCTGCATGAGAAGACTCGATAGACACTGGCTGTCGGTCCGAGCTTGAATTGGGCATTGGTGGAGACTGCATACAAAGACGAGTCTCCTCAGCAAATGAGTTGTTTAGCGAAAAACCGAGCCGTCCTCTGCGACTGCGAGTTCATCGTCGCTGTCGAGCTTGACGGTGTCGATGCGTTGCTGCGCTGGGCGGGCCGCCCTGGCAAATGCAACCGACAGCCTGCTCTTGTCCTTGTCCTTGCCAATCTTGTGCTTGACGCCTGGCGCACCGCCTTTGCCCGCCCTGCGCGCCACTGGGCTGCTGCCCTCGGCGCTGGGGGGCGACGGCTCGGACGCGAACGCTGCCGCGGCAGCTGCGATGGCTCTCTCGTCCCTTGCGATGTCGATGGGGGTCGCTGCGCCTTCCGCCGCTGTGGCCTGGGCGCAGGCGATGCCGCGCATTGCTGCTCCATGGCGGCGCCTCGCTGTGGCAAAGCCAGCTCAGCCTTGGACTCCGGAGCCGCTGGGGCTACTGGAGCGAGGCTGATTGCTGGCATCTGTGCCGCCACTGCCTGCGGCTGCTGCGGCTGCTGTAGTAGACCTGCCTGCAACATACACTGCTGCATCATACTCATCTGCGTCGAGAGCGCTGTGAGCGTCTCCAACATGGCACGGTCGTTTGCCTGCATGGCGGCCAGCGCCGCGGGCGTTGGGTCTGTGGGCTCTGCAGTTGAAGGTGCCCTTCGTGTCGGCGGGCGAACTGCTCGAGCCATGCGTTGCTGACCTGTCTGCTCGTCATCCTCGTGATCCATGGTCTGATCCTCATCGCAGTACTCATCAGACCCTGCACGGACATGTGCGGCCGACTCGTCGAAGTGTTTTGCCAGTAATTCTGCCTGATCCACTTTCCCTTTCACATGAACAGATTGTAACTGACATTATTTCAGGTATTCTGCTGCATCAGCCTCGACCTTACGTGTTTCTTCTAACCGTTTTTTGGCACGCTCAACGTACATGGCCTGCTGCCTTGCGCGCTCCTCTGGGGATCTGGCATGCATAACTTGGTATAATGTAACCCTGTAGTCTTCTTCCTAAGACTTGATGCGCTCCTCTGTGTAACCCATATTGTATGCCACTTTGATGTGCTTTTCGACGGCATCCAGCTGCATTTTCATATTTTCCCTATGCTTGGGAAGGTCTCTGTCATCCCTCGGCAGTGGGATCCACAACCTTTGTCGCTCAGCCATGTGCGGGGGAGCTGGTGCCAGCTGAACTGTGTGCTTCATGTCATCAGGCCATTCAGCTTGCGGACGACTGTCATACTGCCTGCTCCATGTCGTTGCTGTGGAACGCGCCCTTCGACCTTTCTGTGTAGACTGAGCGCTCCACTCTTGTGCTGACCACCATTGGCGAGGCTGCTGAGGCTGTCTGGGACGAGATGGCGTCCTCCATGGGCGCGCCGTAGCTTCAGCCTTCTCGTCGTCTTCTTGACTGGATTGCTCGCTGCCGCTCTTCTTGGGACAGAAGCGACAGTATTTGGCATTGGGAAGGTTGAGCCTCTGGCATGTGCTGCACGCCCAAACCTCGAAGCTTTGCTCGAAACTGGTGGCATGTCGACAACTTTGCCCGAGCTGTGGTGTGACTGAAGTCGAGGAACAGCTGCTGACAATCTGACCAGAATTCTGTCTTGTGCTCTCTGTGCCCGCTGTCTCCTGTGCCACGCTGGCTCTTTGGACGAAATATTGCTAACGAAACTGGACGTGGTCGCCTCGTCCTCCGCACGCAAACTGGAGGGTATGTGTGGCGACGCAGCTGAGGCCTTGTCCAGTAAGGGGAGGAGAAAAATGGCCCGTTATGCCCAGTGTGGCCTGAACCTGGACGGCCTTAACGCAGGGAGGAGGAGGGAGGAGGAGGAGGAGGAGGAGGAGGAGAGAAGAGGAGAGGAGAGGAGAGGAGACGCGCGGCACCGTCTCTTCAAAACGAGGACCCAACACCACAGGATGGTTGGGAATAAAGAGAACCGATCCTGTTTGGGAAATAGGCGACGGCTCACCCTTCATATGCATGCGCTACACGCACATTCTAAGCTACGTCTCACCCGTAAGCATGCGCTACCGGGATGACTTAAGGCTTAAGCTTTTGCAGCATGCCAAGACCCTCCGCGCAGTCCAGGGTCAGTCCAGGGTCAGTCCGGGGTCAGTCCGGGGTCAGTCACGGGTCAGTCCGCGGTCAGTCTGGGGTCAGTCCGGGGTCAGTCCGGGGTCAGTCCCGGGTCAGTCTGAGGTCAGTCTGGGGTCAGTCCGGGGTCAGTCCGGGGTCAGTCTGGGGTTAGTCCGGGCCCGTCTGGGGAACGTCCGGGGACCGTCCGGGTGTGTGCAGGCGCATGGCGTCCCCGCGACTGTCCTCCCACGAGGATCTCCCCGCGCCTAGTTCGGCACACCCCTCACGAGGATCGTGGGGAGTCGCATGGCGTCTCGGTGCTTATTTATATCTTTCACACGGAATGTAACCCCATAAGGAGCTCCACGCACGCTCTCAGCCTGCGTACACGCATGGCGTTTGGCGCGCATATCGGCACAGCCTCACGAAGATTGTGGCGCAATGGGGAGTTTCACATACGGTCTCAGCCAGCGCAGAGACATGGCGTCCTCGCCCCCGTTTAGGTACAACCCTCACGAGGATTGTGGCCGCAGAGGGATCTCCACCTACGGCTTCCGCGGGCGCAGATGCATGGCGTCCCCGTGCAAATTCCCGTGACCTTCCTGACGGTCGCGGCCCCGTAGGGAGCTCCACTTACGGTCCCAGTGGCCGCAGACGCATGGTGTCCCCGTGCGCATGTCTGCACGCAGATGCATGGCGTCCAAGTGCCCATCTCAGAATGGAGCTCAGCTCGCTCTTGCGCGCCTGGTCCGCCGCCCCCTTTCTCTCGGGGCTCCCTCGTTGCAGTGCGCTGCCTATGAGGAGAGGGTCATATCCTGCGTCGCTCGCAGCTGCAAAGGGTTGGGTCCTTCGCCAGGCTAATTAATTTCTCATGTGTCCCGAGACCTGAGAACTTCAGAGGATTTGAGTTGGGGGTGGGAGTGGGCTTAGATTTCGGGCTGGGGGCGTTCGCCTGCGTTCTCAGAAATTGAGAACATCAGTTTCTCAAAAACTGATAAGGTTCGTGCTCTGAGAACGGGTGGCTGGCAAATCACGTTTCGAAAGCTGCTCAGCTCCCAACGACATTGCGATGTTGTGATTTGCGGCGTTCCGCTGGGGAAGACTGGGCTGCACAGTTGCTGAAACCCAGGTTTCACATCCTGATGGCTCCCGCAGGGGGGCCAGCAAATATGCTGACCATTGTGCTCATCGACCTCTTGCAGCTCCACCCCAGGCTGCGGAAGCTGTTCCACTATGAGGCGGGGGCAATCTCGAAGCCCGAGGGCTGGGAAGACGAGGCCGTGCTGAAAGAGGCCAGTTCCATGCCGCTCACTTCCGAAGCCGCGGTGCACGTCTCAAATGTGCGGAAAGTCTACGGTCCGGTGGGGCTCAACAAGTGCTGCGGCAGCATGAGGAGTGCCCTCCACGCGGTCAAGGGTGTGAACTTTGGGATGAGGTATGGGGAGGTTTTTGGTCTGCTTGGCACTAATGGTGCTGGCAAAAGCACGATGTTCAACATGATCGCAGGCCACTTCTCGCCCACAGAAGGCGCCATCACCGTGGCCGGCCTTGACATGAGCACAGGCGCTGGTTCTCGCAGGGCGCGGACGCGGACGGGTTACTGCCCCCAGGACAACGCATTGCTGGAGATGATGACGACCCGCGAGCACTTGTTCTTCTACTCGAACCTGAAGGGGGTGCCGTCTGCCGCCATCCCCAAGGTGGTCGAGGCGAAGCTGGAGCAGCTTGGCCTCGCGAGTTTCGCGGACAACTACGCCGCGAACCTGTCGGGCGGCAACAAGCGGAAGCTGATGGTCGCGTGCGCACTGATCGGTGACCCTCCGATCATCTTGGCCGACGAGCCATCGGCAGGAATGGACCCGGTGGCGCGGCGCTTCATGTGGGGCGTGCTCCAGAACGTGTCAGCTCGGCGGAAACGCAGCAGCGTGCTCCTGTCCACGCACTCCATGGAGGAGTGTGAGGCTCTGCGACCATTGGCGAACCCTACCATGCCCTACCGGTACGGGTCCAATCGAAGCTGGGGTATCGGACACCCCCGCTGGGATTCACTTGGCTGCAGGCATCCTGAACCCCATCCCGTTTCTCGCAAATCTGACATGCAGGGGTAGGGTTCACACGTGGTTGCTTAGAGGCTCTCTGCGCCCGGTCCGCCATCATGGTCAACGGGGTCTTCCGGACCATCGGGTCCAACCGGGAGATCCGTGCACGCTACGGCGGCGCCTACGAGCTCATGTGCAAGGTCAGCCGGCCGACCGATGCGCAGTTGGAGGCTCTTACGTCGAAGTGGGGGCAGCCCGAGGACGCACGGCTGGGCAAGCGATGGGCGGCTGAGGCGATGAAGGACAATGAGTTCATCGTGGCTGCCCTAGACGGGCCGAGCAGCCCCTTCGTCGACGCCAGCGCCGCCGTCGCCCCCAAGGTTTTGGCGGAGTGGTGGATCAATACAGCCCGCTTCCAGAACCTCCATGCCTTCGTGCCCAGCATGTGCTACAGTGCTGAGATCGTCGAGTGGCAAGGCCCCATGTCCCAGTACAAGATCTGGAGCCATAGCAGCCTTGGGGACCTCTTCACCCAAATGGAGGAGAGAAAGGATTCACTGGAGGTCACGGAGTACTCGCTGTCCGCAACGACGTTGGAGCAGATCTTCAACAGCTTCGCCCGTCAGCAGGAGGGGCAGGACAGGCTTGAGGCAAGCGAGCAGCAGCCGGCTCACGCTGCGCACGATCTCAGTCGTTTCCTGGCGATTGCGCGGGGCAAAGCTAAGGTGGTCCCCGTTGCTGGGCCTACCGCCGACATGATCACCGCCATGACGAAGCCTTTGGATGGCCAGCACGTCTCGATCTTCGTGGTGGACAACTCCAAACTGAAAGCAGTCACACCAGGACACGGCCCATTCCGATTTGATCGACTATCCGATTTTCAGTTCGCCAGGCTCGAACCGATTATGTTTTTCGATGTTCCAGCGATCCGATGCGGCCCGATGCTCGAAAGGCGCAGTTGTGCATCCTCGCGCAGCCTGCCCGATTCTGTTTCGACTCCGTGCCGATGCGGCCCGATCCGATGCACGTTCCGATCCGATCCGATATCCCGATTCGGTGCTAGCCGCAGGTACGCGATGTTCTGTTGTTTAACATGCGCGGTCCTGGGAAGTCCCGACCCTTTCCCGAGCCGTTTTTTGATGGTCCTGAGGCACGGCGGGGGCCCCGGGAGGCCGAGAACGGCCAAACACCTCCCGCCGTGATTTCTCGCACGACGCGAGCGTGTCTGGGGCTGGTCCAGCTTGTCCTCGAAGCAGACTCACGGTATGCACATCCAGATTTCTCTCAGATCGGCGCTATGGGACCCCTGTCGGCGCGGGAGGCAGATACTTGACGAGCCAGCGCCAGGAGTGGCGTCGATGATGGGATCCAGTGCCGATCCGAGCAAGCCGAGCGGACCTCCGACAGTTCATGTTTGTGCCTTACTTTCTTTTCCGAACTCTGGGAGGAGGAGGAAGAAGAGGAGGAGGAGGAGGAGGAGTTGTGTTTTTGTTGTTTTTCATTCCATCGCTTCGCTCATTCCGCCGGCCCATATGGTGGCATCGCTGGCACTTGCTGGCGTGCTTGGGGGGGCATTTGGGGGGCCTCCTGGGGCCGCTTCCTGAGGGCCTCGTGGGGGCATCTTAGGGCCTCTTGGGGGCCTCTTGGGGCCTCTTGGGAGCCTTTCGAAGGCCTCCTGGGCGCTCCTGGGGGTCTCTTGGGGCCGAGGGCTCGAAATATCCGTGCGGGTCTCCCGTCTGGACGCCCTCTTGTAGCCGTCTTGGGGTCCTCTTGGGCTGTCTTGGAGGCTTCTTGGGTCGTCTTGGGGCCCTCTGGGGCAGTTTTGGGGCTCTCTTGGGCCGTCTTGGGGCAATATTTGGGGCCTCTTGGGCCGCTTTTGACGTTGTGACGTGGCGAATATGCTAAAACATTGCGTCTTGCTTAAGGAATGAGACGATTGTTGCCTCTTGGGGCCCTCTTGGGACGCCTCTTGGGGGCCTGTTGGGGCGTCTGGGAGCCATCTTGGGTGTCTTGAAGCGAGCGTGTGGCATCTCGGAGCACTCTTGAACCATCTTGGGGGGCTCTTGGCGGCCTCGCGGCCCTTCTTGGGGCTCTCGAGGGCCTCGAGGGCGGCGCCCAAGAGGAAAACCATCTCTGAGTCGGACCGCCCGGGACCTGCCCGGGACCTTGCCAGGGTACTTTTCGTCCGGGGGCCCCCAGGGGCCGCCCTGCGCGCGCGAACCAAAACTTTTGTTGACCAGTTACCGGAGATCTTAGCACGCCTCTGGCCCGTTGGACCGGCGAATTTCTCCCGACTCGGTGCTGGCTGGTCCTGCCCAGGACTGGGCTACCGCACCGCGAAGGACCTGGGCGCCATGGCCAGCGCCGAGGCGTTCGTGGGCGCGGCATGGGGCTCCACAGTGCAGGGCGTGGAGACCGGGGACGGTTGGCTTCAGGTCGGCCAGTGGTATCTGCCGCTCAAGGTGCGGAGGAGGGGCCAGTCGAGACACCAGCGGCCCTCCCCCTCGGAGATCTTGACGTCTCAATTCTTGATGCTTCGCGTCTCCCCACCAGCCCATCCAACAACAGACACCAGGTGAGTTGCCCTGATCAGGTAGCGACGACAGGCAACCGCTCAACGAAATCAGCCACAGGTTCCCTGTGCGTTTGATGAGGGGCGTCCGCGTCGTTGTGTGCGTCTCGCGGCTCCTCGCGGTTGTCCTAGTTGAGTGGTTGCTTGGCGTTGCCTGCGGGTCTTTGCTCTGTGTGTTTCTCGCATGTTAGAGCTGTCTAGTAGCCATGTTGGAAGCTTTGAGGGCCTCTTGAGATGATTCTCTTCGGGCCCTCTCGGGGCTCTCTTGGGTCCCTCCTTGAGGCCTTCGGGCCCTCGAAGGGTTATCTTGAAAGCCATCGATCAAAGAAGGGGGGGGTACTCAAGTGCGTCCCACCCGTCGGGCCCCGAAACATCACCTCTGGGGGCCTTCATGGGCCGCTCTTGGGGTGGTCTTGGGTGTCTGTGAGGTCGTCTTGGGGCCCTTCTGGGCCCCTCTTGGGGCCATCGTAGGCTATGTTGGAGCCATCTTGAGGCCTCGAGAACCTGTCGGAAGAGAATCGGCAAGAACGCAAAACTACTCCGACGGTATATTTAGCTTGCCCCTCGCCCTTTTCCTCTTCGACTGGCGCAGGCCCTCCTCCTGCTTCTGCGTCCTCCTCCTCCTCCTCATCCTCATCCTCATCCTCCTCATCATCCTCATCCTCCTCCTCCTCCTCCTCATCATCCTCCTCCTCATCATACAGCGACTTGTCGGCATTTGTGGTAACTCCGCGGCCGTATTCCCTCGCTCAAGTTCTAAAGGAGTGCAAGCATTCTTTGAGCGGGTCTGCGCCGACCTCACCAGTGCCCTCACCACTGCCATCATAGTTCGCGGCAGCTCGACTCCCTGCCCAGATTGCGTCTGCTCCCCAGCGCTGCACTGCCCTGCGTTGGAGTGCCGCTGCCCGACAGGCGAGGGCTCGCTGGCATCCGTGCAGCCCACAGGCTGGTCAACTGAGTTCGTGGTCGTGCTCGTGGTGAGCTCCTTCGCATACGGCATCGTCGTAGGCGGCTTCTTCATCAAGAGCTCTCGGACGGCCCCCGTGGTTCAGCCCGCACCCGCTCCAGCACCTCTGCCCGAGACGGTGGACACTCTCGACCTTGCGACGGCGGCTGCTGCCCAGGCGAGGAAGTTCCGCCGCTAGGAGCAATGGCTGCTCGCACCTCTGGCCAGTTCCACTACGTACGGTACAACGTCGGGGGGGCGCCATCTACCACGAGAGGCTCACGTTGCTGCCAGGGTACATCCTCACCCCCGACGATGACGACTACGCGGAGAGCGACCTGGCTGGCGGCGACTTGAGATCAGTGCACGACTCGGCGGGCCAGGGCGACGCAATCGTCGGAGTCGCCGCCCATAGGCTCTACAAGTTCAGGCGGCTGCCGTCCGCAGCCGTCGTCTGGGCTGCTGTGCGCCGCGGCGTCGCTCAAGGCCACGGACCTCTGCCGCCGTCGCCCTTCAACCTCGAGCTCAGCGCCGACAACGTGCTGGGCGTGGCGGCGGGGGCGCTGGGCTTGCCCGACCCGCTCGGAGCGGCGCCCGCTGCCGCAGCGCCTGGCGCCCTGGCCTTGGCGGGCGCGGCCGTGCCCCCCGCGGGCGCCCCTGGGCCGCCCGCCGCCGTGGCCGCGGCGCCCGAGGCCGGGGTGGGCGCGCTGGCGGCGGCGCTCGGCGCGGGGGGAGCCGCCCTGCCTGCTGCCGCGGACCCTTTGGGCGTCGGCGGCGCCGCCGCGGCCCCCGCCGCCCCAGGCGTCGCGGGACCTGATCCCCGCGTGATGGCCACCGTGCTCGACGCTCGTGGGCTGCGGGGCATTCCCTGCAGTGACGCCGTGAAGCGCCAGACCGAGACCGCCCGCGCCGACTGGCCCGTGAGGGGCCCTAGGACCACGACGTGGGTGCTCCACTTCATGCTGCGCATGGCTGGCGGGGCGATGGCGTGGCACAACCGCTGGATGGCCATGATGCAGGCCCTGGAGACGGACGACGCCGCCAAGCTCCACGAGACGCTGTGCCGCGTCATCGAGACCTCGCTCTGCCGCGACCAGCTGGTCATCTGCGAGCTGGCCTCCTACGAGTTCCTTTCGCGGCAGCTGCAGTTGGTGGAGGAGCGCTTCTTCGAGGAGCGCGCGCGCAGGACTCAGCCTGCGCCCGGGGCCAAGGGCCAGGCCAAGGACGGCGCCGCGTCCGCGGCCGCCGAGGCCTCCTCGGAGATTGGCCACTTCCTCGGCACGGGAGAGACGATGGGCAACTTGTGCATTTGCCCAGCCTTGATGGACTGGATCGCCGACCAGATGAAGAGTGAGGCCGCCGTTGCAAAAGAACGTCGCGAGGCTCGCGAGGAGCGGGCCTTGCGGCATCCATGACGTTCCTGAAGGACGCTGGCCAGGAGGGGCCTTACGACGTGTTACCGGTTCGTGAGCCTGGCCAGCTTTGCCCCGAGCCCTTCGTGGCTCCACCTGGCCTGGAGTCGCCCAGACGAGGTGACCGTCGCCAGCGTGACGTTTTTCCGCTCCCTCTTCTTCCAGTGGATGGGCGTCGCCATCTTCCGCTTGGTCGGGGTGCCCGTCTACGGGCCGCCAAAGGCGCGAGCTGGAGAGAGTGGTGCAACGAGGGGTTGACTGCTCTCAACTGGCTCCACTGCGGCAAGGACGAGCCGTCCATGCCTGACGACGGGGGGGCACCGCCTGCGGCCCAGGCAGCCTCAGTGGACTACATCGCGGGCTTGCACCGTGACTTCGAGCTGCCCGCCGCCTACTCGGAGAGAGGCCGCGATTGCGAAGCATCCCTCGTAGAGATGCTCGCGCAGGCACCTGGCTACGCTGGCGACAGCGGTCGCGTGCGCCCCTTCAGCATGCCACTTGTGGCCTGGCCCGAGTCGACGAAGGCAGTCTCCACCTGCGGCGTCGTCTCCGAGGCCGACTCCATCGTGCTGCTGGATTGGAGGCAGAGTATGCTGAATCCCGAGTCGGTGGCGGCGGAGCTCCGTGAATCGTCGGGGGTTAGTCGCCCCTATGTGGATCCCGAGCTGCGCTTTAAGCCGAAGTCCTACGCTGAGTTTTTGAAGCAGCTGGAGGCCCACGACACGATCACCTGGCGGGTCTCCAGCGAGCAGGCACCCTTTTCTACTGGTCTTTCCCTTGTGCTGAAGACTAACAGCAAGCTCAGGCTGGTGCTCGACACCAGGCTGGCCAACTGCAGCTTCTCGTGCCCACCAGCCACTCGCCTGCCCACGCCCAGCGCGCGGGCCAGCCTTGACTGCGACGACTGTTTTCAGTTCGCGCAGGGCGACATCCAGTGTGCATTCTATCATTTGCGACTGCCCGCTGGCATGGAGTCTCTCTTCTCTTTGCCACCGATAAACGACAGATTCCTCGGCCTCAAGTCGGTCAACGGGGTTCGTCTCGGCATCAACGATTATCTCCAGCCTCTTGTCACAGTCGTTCCCATGGGGTGGAGTTGGGCTCTACACCTGTGCCAGAGTGCGCTGACGAGAGCCCTGTCGGATGTCGGGTTTGGCAGTGACGATATGATTCTGGATGGGGGATGTCCTCGTCCCTTGGCGGCGGAGAAGGACGCGGTGTGTGCTGGTTATGTTGACGACTTCTGTGTCGTATCCAGGTGCGCGGAGACAGCCGCGTCCCTCGCTCGCGCCGTTGCTGACCTTCTCACTGCCCGCGGGTTGCCTGTCTTGGAGTTCCCCCCTGCGGTCTGTAAGGGGGTCTTCACGGGCTTGGATATCGACGGAACCTCTGGGATCATTCGCGTTCGTCCTGACCGCCTCGCTCGCGCTCGTCAAGCCGTTCTCGGACTGTTGAAGCGTGGGCGGGCCTCTGCTGGGCCCCTCGGCGTGCTCGTAGGCCATTGTGCCTGGGGGGTGATCCTGAGGCGCGACTTTCTGAGCATCTTTAACGCGGTCTATCGGTTCATGGGGGCTGTGGGACCTCATCCTGGACCCTCGTGGCCCTCCGTCGTCAGGGAGTTGCCGGCTGCCGTGGCCCTCATCCCGCTCTGGAGTGCCTCTACAAGGTCTCGCTGGTACCCACGGGTGCATGCGTCTGATGCGTCGCCGTTCGGCAAGGGTGTCTGTGTCAAGGAGGTCTCCCCTACGCTGTCGTCCGAGGTCGGCCGAGTCGCCGAACGTTGGAGGCATCGTCATGGGGATGCTGTGCTTGCCAGATCACACGCCCTAGACGTCGACGGTCGAGACGATGCTGCCGACGGTTGCCGTGCCGACACATCGTCTACTGCTCGTACTGCTTCGTCGGCTGGGCTCAGTGGGTTCTACGAGGTTCCTGAGTCCATCTACGGGGCCGAGGGTTGGAAGACCATTCACTCTAGCCGTCGCACCCGACGGGGCTGCGATATCCTTCAGTACGAGGCGGAGGCCCTGGGGTTCAGCGTCCATCACGCTTCAAGGGCCCTGAGTGCTCATCATCATCGCGTCGTCTGTATTGTGGACAATTTGGCTCTAGCCCTTTCGGTCGGCAAGGGGCGGTCTGGGAGCCGTCATCTTCTCCGCGCCCTGCGGCGCATCGCTGGCGTGGCCCTCGCCTGTGGCCTGCGCCTGCTCGTGCGGTGGGTGCCGTCAGAGAGGAACGTCGCGGACAAGCCGTCGAGGGAGGGCTTCTTCGTCGGCCCTAGCTTCGAGGACGTCGGGTCGTACCTCGTCTCGCGCCGCCTGCGGATCCCTCACGGAGCTGACCAAGGCGGCGCGGGGCCAGCGGGTGCAGCCTGGTCCGCTAAATCTCCTGCGGGGCGGTCGGTCGGTGCTGGAGGCCTGCGCGGTCTCGGAGCCGACGGGCAGGTACTACCGCGCCTCCGCCCCCAGGCTTCTAAACTGGTGCCTCTGGACCGCCAGGGACTTCACGAACAGCGTCGAGCTCGTCGCGATCCCCGTGGCGTCCTTCGTCCACCTGTTCCTCGGCGGGTACGACAGTGCGACGGGCCGCGTCACGATGGCCGCTCTGAAGCACCAGTTGCCGTCGATGCTGATGGGGAGCCGGCCGCTGCCACGGGCCTTGCGGGCCCGCCAGGGCTGGACGAAGCGTGTGCCGCCGCAGACGCCCCCCCCGCTGCCGAGGGTCGCGAGGTTCGCCATCGTGGGCGCGCGGGTGTCTCGGGGCCTTCTGTCGCAGGCGGCCCTCGTGAGGATTGCATTCGACACATACCTGCGCCCCAGCGAGGCCTACCGACTCACGGCGGCCACCCTGATCGCTCCGAGGTCGGGCCCCACGGACGGCTACCAGCACTGGGCGTTGCTGGTGATCGACGCGGCGAGCGGGAGGCGTGGCAAGACGGGGGAGACCGTCGAGCGCGTCATCGTCGACGATCCGCCTCTCTGGCCTCTCCTCGAGGCGTTGCGGCAAGGGCGCAAGGAGGAGAGCCTCTGCGCCTTCGCGCCACGCCAGCTGCGGCTCGCCTTCGCGGAGGCCCTGGTCCTCCTCGGCATGGACGTGATGGCGAGGACGGGCTTCCTCTCGCCGCCGCTGCCGCCCCTGAGGCCGCTGTCGGCGTCACCGCCGGTGCAGACGGCTCCTGTGAGGACCGCCATGTGGCTCTTCGAGTGAGGCGCCTGTGGCGACGAGCGCGGGCGCATGCCACTGTAATGCCATACCTCATCATGCTCTGCACCTGCGTCCCCGACCGTGTACGGCGAGTGTGCGAGGCCCGCGGGCTCGGCACCGTAGCGGTGAACGTTGCTCGTCACCGCTTAGACGACCTCGCTGACCCTCAGGTCTTGAAGGCTCTGACTGGCTGGGTCCGCGGCTCAGCTGTGCTCGGTGTCTGGGCATCCTTGCCCTGGGGCACCTGGGCGCCAGGGGCCGCGCGTGTCCGCAAGGTTCATTCTCTGCGGCACGTACATAGAGCCTCAGAGGCCGCCTGTCGCGCCGTGCGAGTTGCCAACGCGCTGGCAGATTCCACCTTCAGATTGATTGCTGAATGTATCTTCCGCCGAGTCCCGATCATTTTTATGCACCCTGAGTCGAGCCTCATCTGGAGGCATCCCCGCTTGTCCCGTCTCCTTGCCTCGTCCTCCTCTTCCTGCTCCCTCGACTCTTGCATGTATGCGGGTCGCGTGAGACAGCGAATCCACCTTGTCGGTTGGGGCGCGCGGGACCTTGAGCGCCTCGCTCGTCGTTGCCTCTGCGCCCAAGGCCTTTGTGATCGCACTCAGAGACGTCACCTGGGAGGCCTGGGGCGTCCAGCTCTTGACGCCGTAGCTCGGGCCTCTGCTAAGGGTATCCCCTCAGAAGTGGCCATTGCTGGCACTGAAATGATAGTGGCCGAAGCTCGTCATTTGTCCCGCGCCGCGAGGTATAAGACAATTTTTGGTCAATGAGTAATTCGGCTGTTGCCACCTGGTCAGACTAGCGTGTAGTACCGAGTCTGCGCTTCACAGCTGGCGTGGCGCTCGTGGCCGCCCTCCGCCGTTCGCACAAAGATGAAGCAAGATGGCCCCGAATCGACCACATACAGCGACTTGTCGGCATTTGTGGTAACTCCGCGGCCGTATTCCCTCGCTCAAGTTCTACCATGGGCCCTCCCACCCACTTGAGCTAATGTTTCTCCGAGTCTGTGCTTCACAGCTGGCGTAGCGCTCGTGGCCGCCCTCCGCCGTTCGCGCAAAGATGAAACAAGATGGCCCCGAACCGACCACATCATCATCATCATCATCATCATCATCATGCGGCGCCGCCCCGGGCGCTTCGGCGGTCGCCGTCGGCCGCCTCGCGAAGGCGACGGAGCAGGTGGACCGCGTGCTGCAGGCGAGGCGAGGGCACATCCCCTGCGCCAAGCGGCTGGTCATCAGCGGCTCGCTGCCAGCCACGGATTACGGCTGCGGGGCCATGGCCTGGACTGAGCGGAGGCTGCAGGCGTGGCGCAGCAAGGTCGCCGCCATGCTGTTCGGCAGCGCTCCTGGGAGGTCGGTTGCGCTGAGCTTCCTGGTCTCGGAGTCGATCCGCCGCGACCCCCTGTTCCAGCACGCCTTCCAGCCGCTGGACGCGCGGGCGAAGGCTCTGCAATTGGCCGAGCGCCTGGAGGACCGCCGCGCCATCCTGAGCGCCTTCGTGGGCGCGCAGCGCTTGGCCCAAGAGGGGGGCCTGGCCAAGCTCCCCGGGTCGGGCCCCGCGGGCGCCCTGCTGCTTGCGTGCTCGCGGCTCGGCTGGCGCATGGCCTCAGCCCGGACGCTGCGGGGCGACCTCGGCCACGAGGTGGATCTCATGGCCAGCAGCCGCCACACCCTGCCGGGCATCGTCGAGGCAGGCTTGCGCAGGCAGCTTTGGCGTGACGCGGCAGACCATCGCGAGGAGTTGGAGGCTCTGCGGGGCGGCGGGGCCGTCGCCAGCATTCGTTGCGGCTTCTGTCCAAGAAAGTGACGGCGAGGCTGGCGGCCTGCAGCTCCTCGGCACGCAACGCCTTGGTGGGCTGCCTGTGGCCGGTCGCGCGGAGAGCGCGGGCCGCCCCTCCGCTCGCCTCCTCGGCCCGCTGCCCGTGGGGGTGTGACAAGGCGGGCACGGTCCGACACCTGGCTTGGCGCTGCCCAGCACTCGACGGGCCGCGGAGGCAGCAGAAGGCAGACGGGACCAGTTTCGAGCTGCTGCAAGAGGCGGAGAGGGCGGAGCCCGACACAGGCCAGGAGCACCACATCTGGTCACGCGGGCTGGTGCCCGACCCGCGAGCAGGGGCGCCGTTGCCTTTCGCTCGCACGCTGGTGAGGCGGTCGGGCACGCGCCCAGGGTCCGTCTTCGAGCGTGAGGTCTTCCTCGACGGTTCCGCCTTCCGCTCCAGGGACAAGGTGCTGGCGCGCGCGGGCTGGGCGGCGGTCACGACGTGGGGGGCTGACGATTCGGAGCGCAGTTCGGCGCGGGGCAACGTGGCCTGGCCGCTCCCCCAGGACAGCGGGGCTGGGGAGCTGCAGGCGGCAGTGGAGGCCCTGCGAGGCGGCATCGGGCCGCTCATCCTCTACACCGACTCGGCGATGGTGCGCGACGGCTGGGCCTCCGGCAAGCGCTGGGGAACTTTAACCGTGCGTGGATGTGCCGTCCCAATCCTGCACGGCGAACCGCCCTCCTGATCCTCTTCCGCACCCTCCCACTCCTAGTCCCCCTCGCCCTCCTCGCCCCCCCCCCGCCCTCCACCAACTCTTCAGAACCACGAACGCACCGCCTGGCGAGCGGCGCCCCCTCACCACCCGCACCCCTTCCCCCCCCAGGCCCAAGCCCAGGGCGACGGGGGGGGGCAAGGCGGGGAGGAGCGGGACGAGGAGGAGGGCGAGGAGGAGGAGGGGGAGGAGGAGGAGGAGGACTCGGACCCCCACCCCCACAAGCCATACTTACCATCGCTGTAGATCGTTTCGCCCGCCCCGCCGATTGGGCCGATGACGATCGCTCCGGTCGGGCTGTTGCGGAGCGTCGTCGCGTCATCATCGCCATCGTCGTCCTCGCTGCTCG